CACCCCCACTCCTATCCCAGAAGACAGGAACAATGCTAACAAGGTAGCTAAGTAATTTGGACTGGCCAACTCTTCAAGTCTAATTCAAGTGTTTCCCTCACCTAGCTATTCCTGCATTTGGTTTAGAAAAGATAAGCCTTATCAACAATACAAATACATAAATTCTCTCTTTTCTAACAGGCTCAGAGGAAGAATACATGTAAACATATGCAAAAATGAAGTCACTCATCATTTCAAGAGATAGCAGTCTGTATAGCATTGCTACCTCTTTTGTTATCAGCTACCCACTGAAAGCCTCTGGGTATAAAGTCTTTGACAGAAGATAGATATCTATTGAATGAATAAATGTAAAAATAGCAAAAATGACCCTTTTTCTTGACTCTCAGAATCATATTTTCAAATATCATCAGTTGTCTCTGAATTTGTTTTGTGTGTGTGAAATCAGCATATTTTAAGCACATGTTAACCAAATATTAAGTTCAATCAAACTTTAAATACTGAGTATCACGACCACTCAGTGCTGGTCCTTTATTTCAAAGATTTTAGCCCCCAAACTGTGTTCTCTAGGTGCCTCCTGGGTCTTAAAGGCAAAAAGATACCAGCTGCCATTTCTAAGCAGGTTTTAGGTTCCTCTAGTTTCTCTTTCAGTAAAAGAAGCAGTCATGGACTTCCCTGGTGGTCCAGTGGAGAGGAATCCACCTGCCAAATGCAGAGGACACGGGTTGGATCCCTGGTGTGAGAAGATTCCACATGCCATGGAGCAACTAAGCCCGTGCACTAGAGAGCCGGCACTCTCAAGCCTGTATGCTGCAGCTACTGAAACCTGTGTGCCTGGAGCCTGTACTCCACAAGGGAAGCCACCGCAATGAGAGGCCTGTGTACCCCAACTAGTGAGTAGCCCCTGCATGTGGCAACCAGAGAAATTCTTCACACGTCAACGAAGTCCTAGCGCAGCTTTAGTTTTTCTTAGGAGTAGTTTTCAAGTCTCTGTTTTTGCTGCTATTAAATCTTTGGACAATTTATATTTAGCATTATCCCTACTAACTTCTTCAGCTTAAGCCAGTGGTTCTTAAAGAGAGGAACACCTGAAAATTATCTAGGAGCTTCAGTTAACAGGTGCAGATCTGGGCTCAAGCTTGTGAATTTTGGTAAACTTTCCTCAGATGATTATAAGGTACACTTCTGGTTGAATGTACTTACTTTCATATTAAGTTCAGTTTTCTGGATTCAAGGTACAATTAAGATCTTATTTAGAAAATAAAAGCTACTAAGGTTTTTTGAATTAAGGAACTTTCATGATCATTACTGGGAAGATCTGAGATTGCAAAATATTTTTCCTTTGAAGCTATCCTCAGAAAAATGTGGTCTAATGGTGTAAGAGATACCAATTTAGTTAAGTTTATCTTATAACAGCGCAGATAGTAGTGTTGAATTTTACCCAGTTACTGACCTGGTTACTGAGTTATATCCACCTCCATATTTCAACAAAAGGTCTTTGTAACTAGTATTCAAAATAAAGTCTTAGGTAAACCTAAAAATGAATACGTTGGCAGTAAAATCTCATTAAGTGCAAGGAGTGAAGTATAAAGTGCTCGCAATCTGGAGAGTAAAAAAGACCTAGATTTGGACTTCCTTGGTGGTCCAGTGGTAAAGAATCTGCCTGCCAATGCAGGGGACACAGATTTGATCCCTGGTCCAGGAAGATTTCACATGCCTTGGGGCAACTAAGCCCATACTCCGCAAGTACTGAGCTGTGCTTCACAAGAGAAGCCATCGTGGTGAGAAGCCCGGGCACCGCGAAGGGGAGGAGCCCCTGCTCTGTTCAACTGGAGAAAGCCCGCACACAGCGAAGACCCAGAGCAGCCCAAACAAAACAAAACAAAAAAGATCAAGTTTCTGGTTTTACTCCTGCCACCTATCCATTGCTAACTTGAGCAAGTCTTTTTTTTTTTTACTTCATGGTCCCTCCATTTCCCCATGGGGGATAAGGAAATAGGGCACCTGGGACCAAAGTGGATCCAAACACCTGTTCCTCTTCCAAAAGTAGCATTATGCTGAAAATAAAAAACATATTCTCAATCCTAAGAAAGGCCCTATGTGCATTCAGATTCTTTTCATAACCAGGATTCAAAAATACATAATCATGACACATATTAAACAGACCTCAATAGAATGCCTGCTATCCACAATTCCAAGATATGGCTATCTGGTTTCTCTTTGACAGTTTAAAAAGCCTATTCATACACGTATCATTTAATCATCATGATGACTCTAAGAAATAGTCTGGTCATGTACTGTTCTCTCTCCTTTACACATGAGAAAACTAAGGCTCAGAAAGTTAAGGACTTGCTCAGTACCACACAACCGGTTCAACTGTTTTCTAAGTCCAAAGCTCTTGCATTTTCTTTCATACACAAATGAAGCCATAGGAATCACTCTCATTCTCTGTCCCAATAACAAAGAAAACCATGATATCTTCTGGTCCTTGTGAATATATGCTACTTATAGCAATAACTGTATCACCTTTGAGATCCACATGAAGTCCAAGCGAAACTTCTGATGCTCCTAAAATCAACATTTTAAAAAATCACCCTTTTTATCAAGGCAGGCTTAACCCTAAGCAACAGCTTACACAACTGACTAGAAAGAAAGGGACAAGTAAATCACGTACAAATGTTGAGATTCAATGTCTTTGAAGTAATCAAGTTATACTTTTTAAAAATAGTATATTTTTAAAAATAGTTATACTTCTTAAGCTCCCCACAACCATATTTACTTATTTTACAAAATGATTCACCATGAGATTTCTAAAAAGTCACTTAAGTATATCTAGTATACACAGGTTGATAATACCATACATAAAAATCACAACATATATTATGGTTATCGTTTTATAAACAAAAAGGTAAAACTCAGATATGATTAGATTAGTATCTTAATGAACATATATTTAGTTCAAGTAAAACACACGCTAAGCTAGAGAAGAGGAGAACCAAAGTTAAGCCTCAGGACTTTCAGAATAGACTGTTTTCCACCTCATAGTGATACTTCTTATCAGCTGGTTCCTTATCCCCCCCTTTTCACAGCTCAATGAGGAAGGTTGGTCACATGTAAAATTCCAAAGAGATAGGAAACAGGTGAAAGAGAAAGAAGCCAGGCTTTCTATTACTTTTCTACTGGTATGTAGCTTTGGCTTTATCTCTCAGCTATTATTAAAATGGTGGTATGGTGTGGATCTTACGGGGGAGTAAGGGCACCAAGCAGAGGGAATCTGTCTAGAGACAGAGGTTACAGGTCTGACCCTGCCTACAGGTAGTCACTTCATACATATGGGCCTTAGTTTCCTCATTTATTCATTCATTTAATCAAGAATCTTCTATTGAACACTTGGTATGTCCAGAGGGGCTTCCCCAGGTGGCTCAGTGGTAAAGAATCCACCTGCCAATGCAGTAGCCTTGGGTTCGATCCCTGATCTGGGAAGATCCCATAGGCCGCGTGGCAAATTTGACCATGCACCACGACTACTGAACCACTGCTCTAGAGCCTTCAAGGCACAACTCCCGAGTCCACATGAAGCCTGAGCGCCCTAGAGCCTGTGTTCTGCAACAAGAGAAGCCTCCGCAATGAGAAGTCGGCATACCCCAACTAGAGAGTCCCCCTAGTCTCTGCAACTAGAGAAAAACCCATGCAGCAACGAAGACCCAGCACAGCCAAAAAAAAAAAGAGGTTTTAGTTTTATTAGAATAAAGCACGGTACAAAAGAAACAGCAACAATTCCATTTCTGTTTTGCAGAAAGCAATGCTTCCATGTGCTGCCTACTCCATATTTAAAAGCTCTTTCTAAGTCAGAAAGAAAAACACCAATACAGTATGTTAACGCATATATATGGAATTTAGAAAGATAGAAACGATGACCCTGTGAGACAGCAAAAGAGACACAGATATAAAGAACAGACTTTTGGACTCTGTAGTAGAAGGTGAGAGTGGGATGACTTGAGAGAATAGCATTGAAACATGTATATTACCATATGTGAAACAGATGACCAGTCCAAGTTTGATGCATGAAACAGGGCACTCAAAGCCGATGCACTGGGGCAACCCAGAGGAATGGGATGGGGAGGGAGGTGGGAGGGGGTGGTTCGGGACAGGGGGACATATGTACACCCATAGCTGATTCATGTCAATGTATAGCGAAAACCATCACAATACTGTAAAGTAATTAGCCTCCAATTATAACATATAAACTAATTTTTTTAAAAAAGCTCTTCCTAAAAACTCACAAGGTTAGAAACAAAAAACAGAGAATATTTCCCTTTTAATCAGACAACTGAATTTTGTCTGGATATTCTGAACTTCCTAAGCCATGATTCTTCTAACATAACTCTAAAAGCTTTTGTCAAGCCCTTACTTGAAAGCTTAATTCTCCCCTTCCCAAATCCATAAAACACCTCTCAATTTCTTTTTTTCTGGTGGCAACATGCAGCATACAGGATCTTGACCAACCAGAAATAGAGCCCAGGGACTCTGTAGTGGAAGCTAGGAGTTTTAACCACTGGACCACCAGGGAAGTCCCATATTTTTCAATTTATTAGCATCATTTTACTCTGTACACTAGAAACTGAAAAGCTATTTTTCTAGTTATACTTAGGCATGTTAGATTAACCAGGTGAGCTACCTTTCAGACAAGTGGTGGTTTAGTTGCTAATTCATGTCTGACTCTTGCGATTCCATGGACTGTAGCCCACCAGGCTCCTCTGTCCATGGGATTCTCCATGTGAGAATACTAGAGTGGGTTGCCATTTCCTTCTCCAGAGGATCTTCCTGACCCAGGAATTGAACCTGGGTCTCCTGCATTGCAGGCAGATTCTTTACCGACTGAACTATGAGGGAAGCCCAAAAAATGCTGCCGAATGATTGCTAAACCTGTAAAGCAATACAGAAATTTGAAGCAATCAGCCTATGTATTACCTTCCCACTAGGAAAGCACCATGCTCACCATTTCATATCTTAAATCCCAGGGCTCTCATGCACTCCTTGTGGGCTTCAATTAGGTGTCCACATTGCTCTTCTCCTTTCTCAATGATGCTATAAAACAAAATGTACTTGTCAATAAAGTAGGCATTAAACACATTAGCAGTAAGTAAGCATAAGTGATCTGACAGAATACAGCTGGAGTTTTAAAAACGGTATTATACCAAATGGCTTTACACCAAATTTGTTTTTACTGGTTCTTGTGATACTTCCTTGCCCCTGAAAATGTTCCACAGATAACTAGTTTTCGGGGGTAGAAGAATCTGATTTGAAGAAATAATTATGCATATTAAATATTGACCCTAGACAATATCCAAGGAATAATACTGCTCTGTAATGAAATAAACTGAGTGAAAAGTTAACATTAAATGTACAGAAAGAAGAGCTTAATTTTTTGCCTATCACAGAGGAATTACATTTTTTATTCTGCTCCACGTTCAAATACCTCTAAATAAATTTACTTCTAGGCACAAGACACCCAATACAAACAGCAAAAAACATCTGGTTGCCAAGGGCGACCTGAGGAGCCCCACTCATGATGATCAAAGAACTTTTCACTTGTGAAGTTACAAAGTAAAGACTAGGACCACATTAAAAATCAATTACATGAAAAACTGACTTCTGACTCTAGATACCTGGGGAGCCGCCACAGGGTCAGAGGTAATTGATGCAGAAGTTAACTTTAAAAAAGGTAGGTTCTCCTTCCTTCTAAATACAACCTATCTTTCACTAGATTTAATGGCTGTCTGCATGGGTTAGCAAGCTTCTTATGAAAATAATAGCTAGCTCGCCCTGATCATTTATTAAATACTGAAAATACTGTGCTAGGCACCAAATATGACTTATAGCACAGTAATGCTGACGGCAGAAATTTTAGGCCCATTTTACAGATATGAGGCAGAGATGTTAATTTGCTCAAGGTGACAAAGCTGGTTGGTGAACCAGGACTCAAACTCTGAAACTGGATCCCAGGCTCTTAATCATGATGCAATACTATCTGAAAGTTCAATAAGCACCTACTGTTTTTAACTGTGGAAGCACAGTATCCCACTGTAGTCTTCAATTCTCCCTTCACAGTATTACTTGCAAAATACTTAGTGTTAATGTCACTTATGCTCTCTTTACTTTCTATGTGAGGACAAAAAGGGACTGGAGGGAGAGATGTAACACTCACATTATCTGAAGATTCCTTCAGATATCTGTTCCACAATAGAGGCTGTACACAATAAAAACAAGAATGCGAGTTGATGGTAATCTAGGTGTACTATTCTGAATACTGTAATGTCATCTGTGTCATAGCCTGGTTGATTTTTAAATCATCTAGCTAAAAGAGGTGGGGATAAGGGGGTTTTCTGTAGGGTTAAGAAACGTAGCCTGTCTTACTATGTCTAAATTTTGGGAGAAATCACCAGAAAATGTACTCTTTGATACTGCCAAGCCTCGCACAGGAATCATTAACTTTAATGCTCCACTAACTTTAAGATCCTTTAAATCAAGCAGTATCTTTACCCATTTCTATGTTTTCTGAACCTAAGGCAGTGCTTGACCCATAACATTTCCACGTTCAGAAACCCTTTGTAGGAAGGAATGAGTGGACGAAGCAAACCCGAGTCAATGTGACCTCTTTCCAATCCCTTCATCTGCTTCCCAAGGGTGAGCTAAGGGCTCAGTCTACAGACAGCCAAGAGCGAAGCCTATTGGCCTCTATAACCTTCAAGAGCACCCCACGCCTAAGCGAGGACCGACACCAGCCCCAGGCAGGGCAGAAGTGCCTGAACGCTACGCGCCGAGCCTCCGGCCGCCCCTCCCGGACAGCGCACTGACCACGCATCGCGCGCCTTCTTGGTCTCCGGGCAGGCGCAGCAGGGCTTCAGCGGCTTCTTCTCCTGCGACTCAGATGGGGCAGGGCTTGCGGCCGCCAGACCTGGCATTTTTCGTGCCCGAAAGCAGCAACTAGCGCAGACACTCTGAACGCGCCAGACTTGGCAAAGCCGATTTGCGCGCACTCACTTCCGGCAGTCGCTCTGAAAAGAACAGGAAGTCCTGCCTCTCTTCCACAATTGGGGGAAAAGAGGGGAAAGGAGGGTTGTTGGGTTTTTTTTTTTTTTTAAAGGCGCTGTGCAGAAGAGTCAAAATGAAGGTGTTAATGTGAGGACGTCTCTTTGGTCCAGGAGCAGAGAAGTGAGATGAAAGTGCAGCGACCAGAAATACCCACAAAGGAGGAGATCTTCTAGTCTTTCCCAGTCTATTATTTTCCTCTATTTCTTTGCGTTATTCACTTAAGAAGGTTTCCTTATCTCGCCTTCCTATTCTCTGGAACTCTGCATTCTGTTGGTTATACTTTCCTTTTCTCCTTTGCTTCTCACTTCTCTTCTTTTCTCACCTATTTGTAAGGCTTCTTCTGACAACCACGTTGCCTTCTTGCCATTTGTTTTTCTTGGAGATGATTTTGGTCACCGCCTCTTGTACAGTGTTACCAACCTCCATCCATAGTTCTTCGGGCACTATGTCTATCAGATCTAATCTCTTGAATCTATTTGTCACTTCCACTGTATAACTGTAAGGAATTTGATTTAGGTCGTACTTGAATGACCTAGTGGTTTTCTCTACTTTCTTCAATTTGAAGCTGAAGTTTGCAATAAGGAGCTGACGATCTGAGCCACGGTCAGCTCCAGGTCTTATTTTTGCTGACTGTATAGAACTCTCTATCTTCAGCTGAAGAGAATATAATCAATCTGATTTCGGCATTGACCATCTGGTTATGCCCATGTGTGGAGTCATCTCCTGTATTGTTGGAAGAGGGTATATGCTGTGACCAGTGTATTCTCTTGACAAAACTCTGTTAGCCTTTGCGTTGCTTCATTTTGTACTCCAAGGTCAAACTTGCCTGTTACTCCAGGTATCTCTTGACTTCCTACTTTTGCATTCCAATCCTCTATGATGAAAAGGACATTGTTTTTTGGTGTTCGTTTTAGAAGTTCTTGTCAGTCTTCATAAAACTGTTCAACTTCAGGTTTTTTGGCATCAGAGGTTGGGGCATAGACTTGGACTACTGTGATGTTGAATGATTTGCCTTGGAAATGAACCAAGATCATTCTGTAATTTTTGAGATTCCAACCAAGTACTGCATTTTTGGACTCTTTTGTTGACTCTGAAGCCTACTCCATTTCTTCTAAGGAATTCTTCTAAAGATCTCTTCAAGACAATTTGAGATACCAAGGGAATATCTCATGCAAGAATGGGCACAGTGAAGGACAGAAATGGCAAAGACCTGAGAGAAGCAGAAGAGATTAAGAAGTGGCAAGAATACACAGAACTATACAAAAAAAAAAAAAAAAAGGTCTTAATGACCCAAATAACCACGATAGTGTGGTCACTCACCTAGAGCCAGACATCCTGGAATGTGAAGTCAAGTGGGCCGTAGGAAGCATTACTATGAACAAAGCTAGTGGAGGTGATGGAATTCCAGCTGAGCTATTTCAAATCCTAAAAGATAATGCTGTTAAAGTGCTGCATTCAATATGCCAGCAAATTTGGAAAACTCAGCAGTGGCTGCAGGACTGGAAAAGGTCAATTTTCATTTCAATCCCAAAGAAGGACAATACTGAAGAATGTTCAAACTACCACACAATTGCACTCATTTCACATGCTGCTGCTGCTGCTGCTAAGTCGCTTTAGCCGTGTCCAACTCTGTCACCCCATAGACAGCAGCCCACCAGGCTCCTTTGACCCTGGGATTCTCCAGGCAAGAATACTGGAGTGGGTTGCCATTTTCTTCTCCAATGCATGCATGCATGCTAAGTCGCTTCAGTCGTGTCCGACTCTGTGTGACTCTATGGACAGCAGCCCTCCAGGCTCCTCTGTCCACAGGATTCTCCAAGCAAGAATACTGGAGTGGGTTGCCATTTCCTTCTCCAGTTTCACATGCTAGCAATGTAATACTTAAAATCCTTCAAACTAGGCTTCGGCAGTACCTGAACGGAGAACTTCCAGATGTACAGCTGGATTTAGAAAAGGCAGAGGAACCAGAGATCAAATTGCCAACATCCACTGGATCATAGAAAAAGCAAGGATATTCCAGAAAAGCATCTACTTCTGTTTCATTCACTATGCTAAACCCTTTGACTGTGTGGATTACAACAAACTGGAAAGTTCTGAAAGAGATGGGGATACCAGACCATGTTACCTGCCTCCTGAGAAACCTGTATACAGGTCAGGAGGCAACAGTTAGAACCAGATATGGAACAACGGACTGGTTCAAAAATTGAGAAAGGAGTTCATTAAGACTCTATATTGTCACCTTGCTTATATAACTTATATGCAGCGTGCATGGGTGCTAAGTCACTTCACTCATGTCTGACTCTTTGCAACCCTATTAAGTGTAGCCTGCCAGCTCGTCTGTCCATGGGGACTCTCCAGGCAAGAATACTGGAGTGGGTTGCCATGCCCTCCTCCAGGGGCTCATCCTCACCCAGGGATCAAACCTGCATCTCTTAAGTTTCCTACATTGGCAGGTGGGTTCTTTACCACTAGCGCTACCTGGGAAGTGCCTATATGCAGAGTTGTTGTTGTTCAGTCGCCCAGTCATGTTTGACTCTTTGTGACCCCATGGATTGCAGCATACCAGGCCTCCCTGGACTCATCATCTCCCAAAGTCTGCCCAAGTTCATGTCCATTGCATAGGTGATGCCATCCAGCCACCTCATCCTCTGATACCCTCTTCTCCTTCTGTCCTCAGTCTTTCCCAGCATCAGGGAGTTTTCCAATGAGTCAGCTGTTCTCATCGGATAACCAAAATACTGGAGCTTCAGCTTCAGCATCAGTCCTTCCAAGGAATATCCAGGGTTGATTTCACTTAAGATTGACTGGTTTGATCTCCTTGCTGTCCAAGGGACTTTCAGAAGTCTTCTCCAGCACCACAGTTTGAAGGCATCAATTCTTTGGTGTTCTGTCTTCTTTACCGTCCAGCTCTCACAACCATACATGACCACTGGGAAGACCATAAATAAGCCTTGACTATATAAACCTTTATCAGCAGAGACCTTACACCTCTGCTTTTCAATGCACTGTCTAGGTTTGTCATAGCTTTCCTGCCAAGAAGCAGTCGCCTCTGATTTCATGGCTGCACCATCCACAGTGATTTTTAGAGCCCAAGAAGAGGAAACCTGTCACAACTTTCACCTTTTCCCCTTCTGCTTGCCATGAAGTAATGGGGCCAGACACCATGATCTTAGTTTTTTAACTATTTAGTTTTAAGCTGACTCTTTCACACTCCTCCTTCACCCTCATCAAGAGGCTCTTTAGTTCCTCTTCACTTTCTGCCATTAGAGTAGCATCATCCACCTATCTGAGGTTTTTCATGTTTCTCCCACCTATCTTGATTCCAGATAGGCTCATCCAGCCTGACTTTTCTCATGATATGCTCAGCATATAGGTTAAACAAACAGAGTGGCAGCAGACAACCCTGTTGTACTCCTTTCTCAATCTTGAACCCATCAGTAGTTCCATCAGTTCAGTTCAGTTCAGTCACTCAGTCATGTCTGACTCTTTATGACCCCATGAACCACAGCATGCCAGGCCTCCCTGTCCATCACCAACTCCCGAAGTCCACCCAAACCCATGCCCATTGAGTCGGTGATGCCATCCAACCATCTTATCCTTTGTCATCCCCTTCTCCTCCTGCCCTCAATCTTTCCCAGCATCAGGGTCTTTTCAAATGAGTCAATTCTTCACATCAGGTGGCCAAATATTGGAGTTTCAGCTTCAACATCAGTCCTTCCAATGAACACCCAAGACTGATCTCCTTTAGGATGGACTGGTTGGATCTCCTTACAGTCCAAGAGACTCTCAAGAGTCTTCTCCAACACCACAGTTCAAAAGCATCAATTCTTTAGAGCTCAGCTTTCTTCACAATCCAACTCTCACATCCATACATGGCCACTGGAAAAACCATAGCCTTGACTAGATGGACCTTTGTTGACAAAGTAATGTCTCTGCTTTTTAATATGCTATCTAGGTTGGTCATAAATTTCCTTTCCAAGGAGTAAGTGTCTTTTAATTTCATGGCTGCAGTCACCATCTGCAGTGATTTTGGAGCCCAGAAAAATAAAGTCTGACACTCTTTCCACTGTTTCCCCATCTATTTGCCATGAAGTGATGGGACCGGATGCCATGATCTTAGTTTTCTGAATGTTGAGCTTTAAGCCAACTTTCTCACTCTCCTCTTTCACCTTCATCAAGAGGCTCTTCAGTTCTTCTTCACTTTCTGCCATAAGAGTGGTGTCATCTGCATATCTGAGCTTATTGATACTTCTCCCAGCAATCTTGGTTCCAGCTCGTGCTTCCTCCAGCCCAGCGTTTCTCATGATGTATATAAGTTAAATATATACAGATTTACTTATACTTGTTTAATATAAATATATACTTATAAGTATATATATTATATATAAGTATATATAGTTAAATATATACTTATTTAACTCTGCATACAAGTTAAATAAGCAGGGTGACAATATACAGCCATGATGTACTCCTTTTCCTATTTGCAAGCAGTCTGTTGTTCCATGTCCAGTTCTAACTTTGCTTCCTGACCTGCATACAGGTTTCTCAAGAGGCAGGTCAGGTGGTCTGGTATGCCCATCTCTTTCAGAATTTTCCACAGTTTATTTTGATCCACACAGTCAAAGGTTTTGGCATAGTCAACAAAGCAGAAATAGATGCTTTTCTGGGACTCTCTTGCTCTTTTGATGATCCATAGGATATTGGCAATTTGATCTCTGGTTCCTCTGCCTTTTCTAAAATCCATACAGGGTTCTAACTGTTGCTTCTTGACACGCAGACAGGTTTCTCGGGAGACAGGTAAGATGGTCTGGTATTCCCATCTCTTTAAGAGCTTTTCACAGTTTGTTATGATCCACACAAAGGCTTTAGC